TAATTTTTCTAATCCTCTGGAAACCTAAAAATCAAAATGCACTTTCGAACTTTAAAATTTCAGCTTTCTTTTTTGGAGAGCGTAATTTGCCTTCCTTCAATACATTGATAAATTTAATTGAATTGAACAAAAAATGAATCAAAAATCAAACCGCGAAAAATATAACTTAACCGTGAACAGAACAAATACAAACTTTAAGGCTTTTCCTAAAAAAAACATCACAACTTATATAAGAGTCTTCACTTCGTTCATTGACTCTTACGAATCCGAAACGAAATCCCACCTTAAAGCTGCTTCACCTAAACGATAGCGTTGACGCGGATGGGGGAGTTGGTGGGCTCTATTCAGCTTATCGACTCAATGTATTATGAGAAACAAAAACACTTTTAAAGCCAACTTTCAATTATAGTTTCTATGGAGATTAGATTGACAGTTATAATGATCTACATATCAACGTAATAGAACAGCTAAAATTAACAGAACCTAACACTAAGACTAAAATTTAATTAAATCGAAGTCAAATATGATTAAACAACGGTGCATCAATTCACAACTTGTTGAAGATATTTCTTCTATGAACGGCAAACTCTTAAGTTACCATGTTTGCAGTCTTTTGCTGAGTATGCCGCACTTAACTTCTAAGCTAACGATAATTTTACAAGAAATCTTCAGTGATAGTTCAAGCAAGTTAAGCTCATACGATTGTAGACATTTAAGATCAAATCAAGTTCAATTAACTCGAGAAACTTGCAAATAGATGGCCTTACACATTCACCAGTACTAGGCCGAACTGCCTCATTGATTCTAAAAAAAACCAACTGTTCCAAATCTCCGTTTGTTACCCGCACTGCAGCTTCACGGACAATTTTGGAATTTTCTAGTCAGTCTTACCTACAATAAAAAAAATTTGATTCAAAATGGATTACAATTTTAATGTTTTTCGAGCCAAGAAAATCTATTTTTGAATGATTATAATTGATTATTTTTGAAAAAATTCGGAACATTTTTTGGTTGAAAAATAATGCATTATAATCAATTACAACCAACAATTTTGTCAGGTGAATTTGCTTCATTTTCCTGAGTTTTGGCATCATTTGTGATTTTTGAGCTCATTGCCACGCCATATTCTAAATTGATGAACTTAGCGACTTTTTTCCCGCAATTTTCGATTACCGTTAAAAAAATCAGGATTATCGAATTCAAAAGTTTAACCAAATCTGAACATTATCAGTTAGCGTTAATAAATAACCAAACTTAATGCCACAACTTGCAGCTAAAAGTGAAACAGAGGAGATGGCCCTAGCTTCAAACAAGGACCAAGCAGATGATCAGACTTTCATCAACCCAAAATCGATGAAAGCTGTACGTTTGTCATTCGGAAAGGCAGCATTACCGTTACCGCCAAGATTGAAAATACCTGAGGATGTACTGATTTTTCAGCCAGGAAAGTAATCGAGACATACCTAACTGGCCTCCACCACACCAGCAGTGGAAGCCAAAAGAATGGGCTTTACAAAAGCCCCGGGATTTGTGGATCCGGGGACACCTCCCTAAACTTGCCGAATCAAGTAATCAAACATTTTAGCAGTTGAACAGAAATGGACAAATTCGCAATGGGTTCACATCTACCTTTATGAAATAAGCCGTATGACATGATTTGAGTTAGTCGTTCCTTCCCAAATTAAAACCCGAGAACTGATATCGAAAACTTGAAAAAGAAAACCAATTCGCTTTCTAATTAATCAAGAAAAACAAAAATTGGCAAGGACACTACTAGTTTTCCTTAAACACCGTTTTAAATGCACGGAGCGCACAATTAACGCCAAATCGGGACAGAAAATGGAACAGGTCGCTAAAAAATTTGCAACCATAGCTAGAAAAACAGAACACCCAGGAAAACTGGGGGCACAGTTCAAAATCATGTAAAGCTCAAAATCATCGGATAAATCTTTAATTACTCACCACACTCCGCATGGATGTGTGAGGTTGGAAAACAACCAAGGGTTATTAGGCACGACGTACTTATGCATAACCGACCCGCAGGTAAACATTTACCAAAGGCTAAACCACGTAATTTAGCTTAGAGAAAAACCGGGACAACAGGCACAACCAACCTCCGGCAAACAGACAAACTCGCCTAAGCAAACTGCACAAGTAATTTATGCTATTCTCAGCCAAAAAAAATGCAAGAAATTTATAAGCACTCAAAAAAAGTGGTTAGGAGTAAAAACTAGATGTTCCGTGTACCGGCGGTTTATATTTCAAGGCAGTTGTTCTGATTCTTGTATACCTAAATTACAGTTTTTTTTCTCGTAAGGAAAGATTGATTCGCCTCTGCAGCTTTTATCCGTATTTTCTTTTGATTTTCTTTCTGTGTTGACTTTGGATTGAACGTAACGGGGCCAAATTCGTGTCCGTCTGCTCCTCGGTTCGTATTTTCGTGGTTGCAGCTCGCGTGGCGGTATCGCACGTAATTACTGAATCGGGTTTGGATTTTGTCTCGCGCTTTGGTGGCTGCTTTGCGTTAAGTTCGGGGTGGTTCTTGTTCGTAGTGATCCACAATACTTTTGTCGCGTCCGAGTTCGTTATCAACAGGAAATGCTTCTTCAATCGGACCATTTTCGTTGGATCTATCGTTCTGCTTTAGTGGCGGTGGAACGAACGGCTCCGGGTCATGTGGGTGTGGCAGTGGTGGTAGTACTATTATTGGTCCTGGCGGCGGTGGCACGACTATTGCTGCGGGTGCACGTGCTACTGCTGCTGGCAGTGCTCCTAATGGAGGGCCACCTATCGGGACGGATAGCGCGATTAAAGCCGGTGCACTGTGCGTCGTTTCTTCGACAATATCCTGCGGTTGTGTCTTCAAGCAGCTCTGGCAGATAGTCGTCAAACAGTCCTGGCTTACTCCGGTTTTTGCCCTGGCGAAGGATCAACCACGTATCTTGTCGGGTCGATCGATTTTCAATCTTCAGGTGGATGCTGCGGTTGGATTGGCCGCAGACGGATTCGATGCACACACTGCGTATGGTTCGTTCCTACTTTTCGAATGATGTAGCTAATGTTTGTAAGCACCTTTTCCACTCTGTATAGATGTAGGGACTTGCAGAAACTTGTTTCTGTTATCCGACTGTTTTGTTAGCAGAAGATTAAAAAGCAGGCAGAAAGAATGAAATGTTTGTGGTTTCGCCAATGCTTTTTGGTCATAGTATCCTTGATACCGGCGGTACGATGCGACAAGGTTGTCTTTAGCTTCCTTGAACTTCTCTAGCATTGAGCCTTGTAGTGCTGACAAAGTCAGCTGCAGCCGTTGCTACTTCTAATGCTTTCGTGGAAAAGCATAGATGTAGGGGCTTAATGTGTTTACTCCCGATCGACGAGTAGTACGATGTGTTGTGGATGAACGTCGCCAATGGCACATAGCGATGACAATCTGACCATTGCGCGTCAGTATTGAGCTTAAGAATTCTCTTCAGTGATCCCTCTGCTCTCTAAATTCTAAACTAATCCGATAGTTTGAAGATGCTTCAAGTTTTTGTGACTGGTTTGGATCTTGAGTAGTGTCGTATAATCATGCATGAACTTAGATGTGAACGTACTTCCAAGATCCGTTGCGATTTCCTTTGGGATATAGATATGTGCAAAGAACATCTTCGTAAGTTCTCTCGCGACTGTATCGGCACTTGCGCTTGTTAGATGTGTAACGAACTGATAATAAGAGAAAGCATCGATTCAAGTTAGCACGAACTTGTACACCGGCTATTTGGAAGGTCCGAAGATATCTATCTGCATCATTTCCCCTGGGAACGATTGTAATGAGGAGATTGGCTGATGTGGCGGAGTTTGGTGTTTGTTTGAAGCATTCTTGAGCTAAACACATGTCAAGAAAAATTTGACGGTATTCAGCAGAAACTTACAGAAACCTGGGAAGTAAAGTCCCTTGCTGAAATCTTCAATAGTTCTCGTCACTCCGATATGTACTGCTGTCAGTGAATTGTGGACCCTGTAGGGAGGTTGCTTCATTCCAGAGGCGCGTTGGCAAGCAATTAAGCTTGTTTTATTTGTCCGATGTGGTCGTAAATTTAGCGGAACAGGACATCGTCTTCGCATACAAGTCGATTCAACTGTTTTGCATAAGTTTTCAAGCGGCTGTTTGCATATGTAAGATCTGATATTTCTCCTCTCCGCATCCAATTTTTCACCGTTTTGATTTCTGCGTCCTGTTGGGTGGCTCATTTCTTAGGTGCAGGTCATTAAAGAGCTCTGCTTGATCTTGATATTTGACTGCATTCACGGCTTGTCTGGTGAAACGCATCAAGGTTCTCCTTTGTAACTTATTGTCACTTTGATTATAACTCGACCTTGTAGATTCCTTGTTTTTTCAAACTTGCTATAAGCTTTTCAAGGATTTCTTCAACATCAGAGAGCCTCTTCTAGTGATTTGACTAGACTAAGTGATGCATCCAGCACTTTTGCAGTCGAGTCGTATGTACCTCTCGCACTCGTATTTTAACTGTAAGTTGTCTGCAACAATAGAGACATAAATTAGTTTACGTCTTGTGATTGTGTATAGTTCAGTTTTCTGATCCCAACAAGTCTAACCTTACTAAATCAACTAAAAATGTTTTTAAAACACCAATTCTTTAGCCTTATTGATAACAACAGATAACACAAGAACTTCTTTAGTACGCTTTAAATGAAAAACAAATTTAACAAAAACTGAAACAAGCGATCAAAACTCGTCAAAAATTTTGGACAAGTTAATGAAAGCAATTAATTACGATAAAAAAAATATGTTTCAACTTTTTTGGAGACAGGTAGCAAGTTTATTTGAGTGGCTTTTTTCAAGAATTTAGCACTCTTCATGGCCACACTGACGAAAGTACCATTATTTTTGAATCAAATCGAAGCACTGAAGTTCCTCTTAGAAATACCAATATGCACGAGCAAATTCATTTTTGAATAATTTAAGTACACTCCGCAAAAGGGCACTACCTTTTTGTAACTGAAAAACAACATTTACAAAATGCATCGAAAATTTTTCCAATGATACCGTGAACCAAAAATGTAGACAATATTTGTTTGTTATTAACTCGCGTGTCTCAGCGGGTTTAAAAAAAACTTAAGAAGCCAAAATGACTGATCATGCCTCAAGCTCAAAGATTAGATCTGACACATATTTTTTTTGAGAAAACGAACTTGAAATCAGGACGAACAATATCTGTATATGTGACAAGGTATGAGCTTAAGCTAGCGTATGAAATACGCTTTCCAAAATCTTAAAAGGTAAGAGCTGAAGTTTAATATAATCATTAATTTTCTAAAATTTGACCATGAGCGCATTTTTTGCACTTTGTTCAACTGGACAATATGGACACTTAAGTTTCCCATGTGATGAAGATATCTTCGAAAGGGCTTCCTTGGAAATGATATGACCACAGAATAATCTCATCGCAGGGTTGTCTTCATTAGTCGGTTGCCTCAAAATGGGACATGCAACTAGCGAATGATACTGACACAACTTTAAATTTATTTCCAGGGGTAATTCATCTCTAGGGTTCCAAAGACTGCCAATTTTGCCCTGTGTCATTGCTTGCTTAAGATTCACCAAACTAGGCAGAAGTTGGCAACCAGCCTCCATGCACGTAGTCAAATGAGACTTCGAGGACCCACGGGTTCCAAACTCGAGGAGCAAACTGAGATCGGACGTCAAAATTTCAACTAACTGGTTGTAAGTTTCAGAATCGGAATGGCCCAATTTGTTTTCATTTAAACTCCCGGAAGAAATATGGGATCCTGAACTGTTTGAAGTAGATGCAAAAATTAGATTGCCCATCAGTTGTTGAATTTCCACTGAGTGTTTAGCTGAAAATTTCGATAACTTGGAAGACATAGCTAGAGCTTCCATTCTTTTTCCAGACGAAACTAGTTCTAAAAATCGAATTTTCAGAAGGTAGAATTCCAAGCTGCTCGATATTGCTATTAATTGCTCTTCATAATCCTCGACAAACATCACACAAGGCTCAATGTTTTGATTTTTCAGTTCCTGTACAGCATATGAAACGCGCGAGAATAGATTTTTTTGCTCTTCGGTTAGGGGTATTTGCGCTTCTTCTATTAAACTTTTTGCCACTTCCAAACTTCCCTGTCTGATGAAATAGTCACACATGACTTGGTGGACCATTTTCTTTTTGTTTTGGTCTTGCAGGAACCCTACATTTAGCAAATTGCCGTCCTGTGGTACGAAGTTTTTGTCAATTGATTTACCCACTTTACAAATTGTAGAATGAAGTTCTTTGTGGTCGTTTGCAATTGACTGCGCAACTGATTTCAACTTAGTAAGATTCTGGCCAACTTCAGCTGTTTCGTCAGCATCAATTTTTTTCCTAGTCGAGTCTAAAAGATGTTCACACTCGATTCTGTTTCTGCTCATAGATTGAGAATAGGTATTCATTTTTGACATGAACTTATCAACTTCCCGTTCCACGGACGCACAGCTATCCATAATTTCTGAAAATTAATTAAAAATATAGTAAATTTAGCCAATAAAGAAAGAACATGACCAACACAATTAGAGAAGTAAATTTCGCTGAGCTCATTAACACTCTTGAAAACATTCAAATGTAAAAACCCAATTTTTGATGCTCCCAATCCCTCACAGGTGTTTTGCGAGAGCTCGGAATATAACTTTTATATAACTCAGAATATAAGCTTTTGAAAATCCCAGATCCACCCCTGTAGAAAAATACAGGGGAAGGAAGTAGTTTCAAATTGGAATAAGAAAAGGCGACATATCCACGTGAGAATGGACCACAATACAAGTTACAAGCAAACTGTTTGTTTCTTTTTCTGGGCCGGGTAAGATTTCCTCACGCTCAAGCAACGAACATGGACGCTAGCGAGACTCGCACAACCCACCGTTCGATGGACAAGCGGAGACATAACTAATTTACCTATGCTCCCCTGTGACTTTACGAGCTCTATCAAAACACAATAACGGCCTTATTTAGGCAAAATATTTTTCCAGGCGAACTTTCAACATCTCCATTTTAAAGGTTTAAAAACCAAAAACCATTTTTTCGGCAAACTAATTTTGCCGGAAAAAACCCAATTGATTCATAATTCCATATTTTTTCTTTACAAAATCGCTGCGATAACCAGTACTTTAGAACGCACACCTGGACGCTACTTCATCTTTCCTTCAAAAACATTGGTGCGAAAGTGTCTAACTGCATTATTAAAATAAGTTCACCACGAGTCAATTTTATATCCATTTACTGGATAACAGCTTTAGAACAATTTAAATAATTTACAAACTTACAAAGTCTTCATTCATTCTATCTATATTATTTACATATTGACAATTGCAAATTATTGCTTTCTAAATTTCTAATTGATATATTACCGCGTTAGTTGTGCAAGTGGTGAAGATACTCTCATAGAGGGGGAAATTGAGTCTGCAAATTTGAATCTATTACCTTACAGTTTCATCGCACATTAAACAGATACTTCGAGATATGCCGTTTGAAAACCAAAAATAAATTTATGAGCTTATTAAGCTCCCACTCACATGAAACTATATCCAAAAAATTGTTTGAAAATCTTGAATATTGTTACACAGAGAGCCACTAACACTGTTGCTTTTGAGTAGTTTGCTCTATTACATTAAGCGGATTGACGGATTGTAAAGGGGGGGGGGGAGGATTGAACAAAATATTGCTGACTCAATTTACCCAGTCACCCTTTCGGGGCACACAATTCTGTCGTCAGTTTCCCATTGCGTCGTTCTGCTCGTCGATGAAACTCAGAGATGAATTCTCGTTTATAGCTGACTCATTCGGTCCCAGGGGCTCTCGTACCACCTCATTGACTCTTGTTTCCCTGTTTACCCGAGGCGTGCTGCTGCGTCGAGGCGAAAACTTGTGCGCTCTTCGAGTGAAAACAGCGGATGATCTGGCTTTACTCGAATTCTCATCTCCATTTTCATGCAATTTCTCTCGTTGCCGTCTATTCAGTAGAACCTGTTACAGATAACGGAAAGATGTGAGCCAACAATTCGTCAAGGGTTACAACTATACAACTAGAGTCGAAAACAAATTAGAAAAAATCGAATGAAATCGAAATCTGAAGGAGCCACCGATTTAGCAATGCGATGCCATTAAACTAAGTTAGAATGTTTCAGATCTGACTTATTATAAACTTAATATCTAATCAGGACTGTTATGTGCAATTTATGTGGCTATGTGACAAAATTTTACTGAGTTTCTATAGATGAGCAAATAAAACGATTGGCCTATTTAGATTGCAACGCCAAATTGTCTGCATAGGACTCTTTATATTATTGATTTATATGTTTATAAAAACTAACTCAATAAAAATGATGTTTTAATCTGTAAACTCATTTTAAAGCTTCCGGATCTGACATCGGACAACCCACTGGTTAGTATTTAAAAGGTTAAGAACCGACCCCCCATTGCTTACCCTAAGGTGAAGTTTGTTTGCAAAGAACACCTCCTTCCAGCCCCTTTCCATTGCCAAGTCTATCAGCTCCTCACTGACGTCGTCATTGTGTCTGAAGAACAGCTCCTCCCAGATCAGATCCGAGCTGCACGTCTCCCGGAAAAACGAGTTCACCTGAAACTTACTTGACGTTCGATGCTTGTACGCAATATAACATGCGGATCAACCTCAGAAAAACATTACACGACCTAAATAAGTGTTTTCATTTCGTTGATTGACAAACAAACACTCACCATTGGCAAAAATGCAAATGGTTTCTGCTACGTTCACACGTTGTCTCGCGTGTTCACACGCAATGTCCCAAAATAAAAAAAATAGGGAACCTGCGAAAAATCAAATTTGAGCGTGAACAAAATTTAGGACTTTTTCTTGCAGAAAAAATCACGACCTATTTAAGAGTCTTCGCTACGTTCATTGACTCTTAATTAATGGGACCATATAACTTTCCGCAATTCAAATTGGAATGAGTAATCGAACGCGTTGAAAATTGGATTATTTTTTCGCGCTCGTTTACATGTGCAGCAACCTATATAAAAAAAAGGAAAAAGCGCACAATTTACTTCGGCTATGATTACCCTAATTGGTCAAACAGCAATTTTCAAACCACTGTAATTTAAGAAAATGATCGCAGTAAAATATCTTTTCATTCGAGCTCACAGCATTTATTATGAAAAACGGCTGGATTATATGCATATACTGTAACAACACTGAGCACAAAAAAGAGCTAGCAAAATTTAACCACCCAAGAGACAGCTTTGAAACTCAGACAGAAAAAAGAAAACTCAGACTTCACAAAAAATGTACCATCTTACATCTCTAGAAACTCCCGAATCTTTAAAGACTAACCATTTTTTGACGAGAATAACCCAATATGATAAAAATGTATCATCAGTTAATTTTTCTATTTCGTAGGAAACTGTACAAATTGGAAACCCCTCATTAAATTAAAAGCCATTCACGTTTATTCTCGCCATGAGCACTTTGTTTTGAAGAGCATAACTTGCCTTCCATTTTACAAATAAACTCGATATCTAAATACCCTGCTGCGCAGAAAATTTGGCCAAAACGGTCTTGTTAGTTCATTGGGAGAGCTCGGAAAATCTATTTGGACGACCTTAAGAAAAAGTCAACAAAATTTTTGAAAATCCCCTCCCCCCTCAAGAAAATCCTAGATCCGCCCCTGATCAAATACGCACTTTAATAACAAGACTTAATTTGACTTTATTATTGAAGATGAGCAACCCTGGCTCCTTTCATTTGGAAAATTGTAAGCTTCTATAGAAACCAAACGTCAAATGGATACATAGGCTTGAAAATAAACTATCAAGATAATTATTTTAAATTTTGTTCCTTCATTAACACTCATCAATTTGAACAAGTTTGTAAGAGGTTAAGGGAAAGAAATTGACTAAGCAACTGAAAAATCGATTAAAATCGTTCATTAACTGCCGAAATTTAAAAAAAGGTTACTTTTTCACCTGTGAGAGATTGGCGACATCGACTAAGTCGAGAAACGAAATGACGTAGAGCAGAATCGGGAGAGGCATGTGTGCCACCCAGTCCACCCTCCCCTCGCACAGACAGCGAGCCTTGTTCAGAGCCTCCGGGCCAAAGATACGCCTCACGTCAGCTGCAAATGAACAGAATGTAAGACAAACCACAATAAGCTTGAACATGAAACTGAACATTTCAATCATCCGAGATATTATGTGATACTAGGTTATGGTACTAAATAATAGATAACTAGGTTATGGTATGAGATCCAAGCATTTTTAGAGTTCAAAACATCTTTTAATTAGGTCTCATCTGCAAAAACATTGGAGCTATTCAAGCCAATAAAAGTCGACAGAAAGCACATGCGGTAAATAGACAAAAATATTTTCAAGCATCGGCTAGGATTGGCTAGTGATTAGATCAAGAGCAGCTCTGATCAAAGAACGAATTCTGTATTTGCAAAGCTCTCCAGGAATGCATAATTTATTGGAACACAATAGACGAACACTCATCTACAAAAAAAATTCAGTTCTAGTACTTTAAAGGTAACCCGTGATTCAAATTTTCAGAATATTCAGTGAAAGATATGTTTGCCAGGAATTCTTCAAGGAAAAGAAAACACTTTAAAAAGAAAACACTTCTTTGGAAGCATGCAGTCAGCCGTCAATCATTTGCAGTACCAATAGATAACATTGCAGTTGGCTTAGTCAGTTGTTTTGACAAGCAAAACATAGTGACATGTATCACAGCAAACTAACGGATCAGCTGAATTTGAGGTTTCTCGAAATAATGAAAAACTGTCTTTATATATTGAACAATCAAGATGAAAATATTTAAGGGACACCTTATTATTTTAAGGACCCTCAAAATCAACTGAACAGAAAATTTTGTTCAAAAGGGAAGATTTTTTTATTTGAAAGCTAGAAACTCTAACAGCAGTTTGAAGCAAGAAAAACAGATAACAATAGTGGACCTATACAAAAACTTGCCCGCGGATCGCACTCCGCTCAGCGCACCGCTTACATATCATAAAGGGGAAAATATTTCCAAAGCGAACAGATTCTGGATATATAGAACTTATTTCGTGAGGCGACTATCGTCGCACACAACCATTGGCAGCATTTCAAAACGCAAAAATTTGTCGCCGAGCAATTTACCATAAAAAAGTAAATAAAACAGAGCTAAAATAATTTACTAATGCGTAGCAACCAAGCCCCTTTGACTTAGGCGTGGAATTCTATATAGAATGTAGAACTATAAGGCAATGAATTCTGATTATATTGTTTTGCGACAAACTGGTCGGTTTTCTATTTGTGGCAAACCTTCGCCATACCCTTTCTTGCATGATAAAAATAATAAACGAGACCTGCTCGTATATCGAGGCAAAGCCCTGAACGAACCTCAATTCAATTTGGAACATTTTTGTAAGGCCACTCAATATCAATCGCTTTACTCATTCAGCACCAGAACCAAGAACCATAGCTTCATTAGAAGACGAGACACTAAATACAACTCTTTAGGCTTCACATAGCGTGGGTATAAACCGAAGAAAAAATAATTTTTCAAAAACATTTCTTTTTTCCTCGATTATTTCATAAATTTTTCAATTTAAATATCTGCAATTGGCCATGAAGCGCAGTCGGAACATTTAAGTCTTTGCCCTGATATAAGAGCAGTCTTGTTTACTTTATGCGGAGAAAGTCACCAGCTTTTAGAGGGCCAGCTATAGTAATCTATCACTAAAAATTAGATGCATCAACTTACCGACTGTCGTTTCTGAAGCGGAACAAAACTACTACTCTCACTAATCTGAATCTAAAAGGACCTTGTGCAATCAACACAAATATACTTGATCACAATTTAATCTAACAACGAAAATGAAAAAAATATATATAATTGTAAACTGATTATTGTGTAAGTAGCACAATTATTCCAACTACGGATTTCATGGCAAAAATTAGATTTTCAATTTTTGTCATGAAAAAGCCTTTTCAAACTTCATTTTTTCGCTAAGCTTTTAATGAGAGGTTTTAAGGGATGATGGAGTGGTGGTAGTTGGCAAATTAATTATGAAATGTTGCAAAATAGTTTGAAACCATGCACTCAAGGTTTTCTAGCGGTTTTCACCCTAGCATTCGCTCGCCGTAAATTAGTATATGTTAAACTTCTCGACAATTTTTTTTTGATATATCGTTTTGGAATCCAATTAAGAACTGAACGCGCTTTAAAACTACATCTAGCAGCCTAATTTGTTTTGCTTGAAAATGTGAACAAAACCACTACGGTATGTTTGGAACAGAAGCAGCAACTTGACTTTTGATATTATTCCCATCAAGTTCAGCCAAAACTATATTCTTCCGATTTTTCATCTTGCTTTTCAGCTATGGTACGTCTTGTTACAGAGAATACACTCAAACTTTTAACTAAATATGTAAGATAGACTGAAACATGATTTCGACAATACAAACAATAAATAACTATTTTTTTGGAATATTCTACGTCTAATATGCTCACATTTTCCCCCATTTTTTAGGTTAAAAAAAGTAAATCCTCAGATTGATTCTCTGATTTTTCCAATATTTTCTGGAAATGATTTAGTAAATTACGATGAGTGATATGACAGAAATTAACAGAGAAGATAGAAAACTCACTCGATTAAAACTAAAAGCAAACAAAAAAATTAAGTATTTGAGTTCTCGAAAATATATCAACGTCAGTTTCAATCAATTTTTTCCAATAACTTAACCATCTACTAAAAATCATGCATATTATAACATTTTTTGTTTCGTTAAAACTTAAAACAAATACAAAATCAAGCATTAGGTGGTAAATTTACCATTAACAAAACAAAAAAGCTGTAATGCCGAAGAAAAACTAGTAAAATAGTTGTTCCCTATTCGGTTGGATTCATTTAATTCAAGCGTGTAATATAAAAACAACACATACCTTGTAGTTGTTCGTCTTCGAGGAAGTCCTCGTGACTGTACTTGTTTTCGATCGGCCTCAGACTGGTGGCCTCCACCCGAAGCGAGATGATCCAACGTCTGAAGATCACCTAACAAACAATAAACAGTTGCGCTTCAGACTCATTCTAGCTTCAGTAACCAGAGTAAGTCTTGTAAGCTATTGTCAAGTTCTCAGGTTACTAGGACTAACTTAAGTCCCCGCGATTTATCATTGGAAGTCGCATGGTTGTTCTATCACAGAACGCCGTATTGCACGTTTACATTTCGCTTTAAACGTTGAATGAAAATTTTAGTGCGATGGCAAAATGCTCGAAGGCAAAATTTTGTCAATAAAAACTTATTCTCAGACACTCTCAAAAATAGCATGTGTTTAATGCCATCTTGTATTAAAAAGAAAAAACCGACCAAAGACTTTTTTTCAAAAGTCGCTGCATATTACCTTTTGTCCAAAACCTAAAGACATCTACAGTCAATCCAGGTGATGGAATCATTTCTGACAACATTTGACGACCAACATTAAGAACTCGTTTGACGAAGAGCCCGTGCAATTGTACTATGAAAGAAACATTTGCTGATCCACGTAACATAGTCAATAGACAGTTAGAAAAAGAGTCTATGAACGCAAGTGAACAGAAAAAAAAATAACCCAATTTGAAAAACTGGATCAAACAGTAAAATTTTTATTTCTCTGAGAAATTCGATAATTAAATTACACTTTCGAAACTAAAAGTAGATAATGGAGTTCGCTTTGCGTTCCTTTTAGCGAAAGAAACAAATTGAACTTACAAATAAATCAAACCTTACAAGGTTGCAAATGACGCAGAGAATTGGAGGGCGTAATATGACTTCATGTCAACAAATGAATTTTAATTGAATTAACAAATAACTCAAAATTCAAACAGCAAAAAAAACCTATTTAAAAAAACATCATTCTGACCTAAAGAAGTGTCTTCACTCCCTTCATTAACACTTAAAAGTAAATAAAAAAATCGTAGATAAAAAATCAAACTGAACATGAAATAAACGTAACAAAATGACTTTCAGTTATAGCAAAAACTACATTAATCAGAAACAATTCTTTGGAAACTAACCCGACAAAAAATACGCAGGCGCACAATAGTCTGACAATTCATTTTTTAAAGCAAAAAAATTCATTTAAAAAAATTCAGCTCCTGGTTAGAACCATAACAATTGCTTTGATGTCTCAAGCATGTGCGCCAACCCTTAAAGAAAGGAGAAAAATAAGGTAGAACATTAATGAAATCTGAGAAAAATGTAAACAGGAAAAGCCATGTACACACGAAAAGCCTGATACCCGTTGGTAAAACAAAACAAAACAAATATATATTGAGCTATTTCAAGTCAAAACTGAAGAGCAGAACTTTCCGACGCAGATAGAGTTACATTTTCAAAAAACAACAAATCTGAGTCTACCCTGTCTATGGATACAATGCGCGAGATGTGTTCATAAAGCTTTACTTTCTTGATTAGTTAGTAAAGAGGAAATCAACATTCACAAGAGAAACCGACCAAAATTAGAAAATTGCCCAGAGATGAAGCGAAGCTTCTCGAATCACTTGCGATACACCACAAGCATAGCAAGCTTGCTGACAAAATAAGAAGACGAAAGTCTGAAAAAAGGTTTGGAAAAATTATGACAAAGAGACAATTGCCAGCAGTAAATTGGCATTCAAATGAAAGTTATGAGCAGTTAACTAAGCTGACAAAACTTGGGTATACAACCGTTGAGCCAATCAAAATAATTCTTACAAGCAGCCCAAAAACGAATGAACTATTATCGGCCGACGCAACAACAAGCGACTAAGACGATATGCAAAAAGGATGTTCGAATTTGATAGAATTAAAGCATTAATTTTCACCACACAAATTTTGGATACTATTGATATTAGGGTGCTGATTTAAATTATCCAGACAAAACGAAAACAACTTGAAACTTGGAAATGCTTTTTCTTAAAATTGGGTTGACTTTAGACAAAAAATGTTGAAGACAAATGTTGCATGGAAATTCAGCACATTCAACATGATGCAATTTATTTAGCTCAATTGGGGTCCAAAATGTAAGCCCAAAAACGACCATTTTCGACTTTGTTTAGACAATCAAAAATTGCGCCAAGATAACTGGTTCAATTACTTTCAAATTATATCAAAGTGAGCCTCTTACGTGGCCCAACAAAATTAAAAAAAACTTTAAGAGGCGTTTTGTCCGGATAGTTTAAATCAGTACTGTATCTTCAGCAATTCAGTTTAGCTAATGTAATTTAGAGACGAAAAAATCAGCAAAATACATACCTTGAACAAAGCGACTTTCAAACACAGAGGCGAAGCTTCGCTTTGCAAACATCAGCGAGAACACGACAAAATGCAGCTTTATGAAAAGCAAAAAAAAATTAGAAATAAGCCTCGGATTAGTAAAAATTCGGCTATGTGTCGGATTCGAAACTGCAACCTAGATGTTATGAGTCTCACACACTAATCACTCAGCCACATATGCTTAATAGGTAACAAACACTAGCCACAAATAAACCAGGAAACAGATGCTATGCAATTTCCAATCCTACAGTGAAATTTCTAAAAGTGAACGTTTTTATTTGCGAGTTAGGCTACAAAAAAAGAAGGTTCGTAATAATACACTACGCTGACTCATCGCTTATGTAAAAAAAAGTATTCGAAAACGAGGAGAATTGAGCCCAGAACCCCAACCAACTCTCAATTTCCAGATGCACTTAGCCATATCGCCTTGCATAAATCTACTTCCACGATACTCATGGTGATCATGCGGCAAAGCATGAGGTTTAATAAAGCGAACATAATTAGAATATTAGGTTTATTTAAGGCTCACTTTGCGCCAAAATGTTCAAAATTGTTTGAAAAAAAAACCTGAACTTATAACACGCTCGTAAGCTTCAAGGTGTTATGGGCTAAAGGAAAATGAAAACACATGAAACATATTTGTTCACATTACTAACTTCACCAAAAGATTTAAATTAAAAAGCCTCTTTAAATAAACAAACTTTTGCGATTGACCCACTCTGAGAAAACTTAGTGATCAATAGATATTTTTCAATTTCTCTGAGAAGTCTGAAAAATGAAATCCACTTTGAAACTACATTTTCCGCACAAAATCAAAAATCAAACCGTCAAAAAATATAAACCACGAGGAAACTCAAAACTGAAAACTCGATAACGAAAAAATATCACACCGAAATTGAAAACTCACTTAATACAGTAAGAAACGCTATTCAATGTCGTTGAAGGCCGTTTTCAGGCTTCTAGGTTCTCAAGATTAACGAAAATGCGAATTGCGATGTACGGTCAAATTCTAATGGGGCTCACTTAAGAGTAACACAAAAAAGAGGGTGCAAATACATTAATAAGAAATGAACTGAACTGAATATGTACCTGTTCTTTGTTCACAACCAGTTGACAGAAGTCCTTCTTTGGAGATCTCTCTTGGGCAGTCACCTCGAATAGGTTCACGTTGGCCCCTACTGAGCTCACAGTCATCCTTGAACCTGATGATTTAGAAGACACACTCGCCGCAGAGGAGGGCATCTCTACTTTAAAAAGCAAAAAAATTGTCGCGTCGCCAAATAATTTACATATATTCATAGATTTTTATGTTGGCAATAAGGAATGAAGCTAGCCAAGAAATGCTTTTTTAAAAATGTATTCTCTTCTTCTAAGAACCAGCATTTTGCTTTCAAGTACTCTCAAAACCCTCTTAAGGCCTGCTTTCTGTCACTTTGCGGAAACAACTTAACATGGGAACAATTGGTGTCTGTAATTAAGGCATGCATTTGATCTTAACCATGAACACCCTATTGATTTTTTCGCCTGATTGAAAAAAACTTTCAAGCACGATTGGTCTAACCTGCGTTCTATTCTCTTCTGCAATCAATACAGATATCTGGACCCTGTGAATATAGAATCTTCGTGGATCGTTGCCTCGATTGCACAGGATTTTTGATCTTTTGTACAGATGTTGTCAAGATATTTGACAAATCACAATCTATGGACACAATCAAATTGACCAGTTTCTGAAAATTTGTTCTCTGTACATCAAAATCTGAAAATGATTGACACATTGTGAAACATGCCCAACTTTCGATTTAATGAAAAAGTATACCACGAAGATCAACTTCTTCTATTTAGCTTATAAACCCAAAATTTAACACAGACGCGAAGCGGAGCTTCACAACACTTGTGAGACAACTTGAACATAGCATTGTAAATTAGCAGACAGAAAAAAAAGACGGAAGCAACTAAGTCAGAGAAATTATATTTGAAAATTCGGAAAAAACTACATCTACAAAAATTCCATAAATTTGCTCAAATGATCTTCAATTTGATGAAAACAGGCCAAAGAAAACAATCAATGTCGTTATATACGCATTTTATATCGTTTCTCGAGCGGCGAATAAGCCGAAAACACTTGGGTAGCAGACGAAAAAGCTTTAAAAACGTAAAACTTTGAAATTTGACGTTTTACGCTCTATTCTCGAAAAAATAAAAGCGGAGCAATCTAATATATGCATTCTGGCCGACGCAAAATGAGCTCATCAAGTCAGTATAGCAAAAACCGAACCCATTTGAGGGAGAAAAAAACACATTATACAAAAATCGTCAAAATTGGTTAAATTACGGACTAAAGAACAATTTCCAATCATAGTTAAAACTGCTAAAATAAAAAAGATATTGATGCTTTGAAGAAAAAAGTCCAGGCTTTGGACAGTGTGCTGACACAAAATGAGTAGACAAACGATAGTCCGAAAAATCAACTTGCAAAAAAAGTGCCGGGATTAGAACCCAACACTTTCTGTTCCCAATTCGCGTGCTTTACTTCTGGATGGAACGAGAGTGGCTTGAACGCTTTTTGAGCTTCCATAAAAACGCAAGGTCAACTTCTTACACATCTCAAAAAAACTGTCCCGCTGGGGATCGAATCCCAGACCTTATGCTCCGAAGTTACGTTTTTTTTACCACTACACAAGTCAGAAGGGCCTTGAAAAGTGCCGAGGATGACTGATGAAGCAGAGGACTCATACATACATAGTGAAAAAGAAAACAAGGTCCGGCCAGGAATCGAGCTCCAAACCTGCCGCTGGTAAGAAAAGTTATATACATGGAAAAACGAAGTCTTGTTCCCAATTACAAGTCACTTGCTTTCGCAAGTGAAAAATCCTTATCAAAACTTAACTTATTACACGTTATTTGCAATTTCCTAATCGGAGAACGTTATTTGCCTTCCTTTTAACAGATGAATTTATTTGAATTAAATCAAGAAATCAGACCGCGAATAATTCAAAATTGTCAGTGAAGCTTTTTGAAAATTTCCTTAAAAAACAAGAGGACCTAGATAAGCGTCTTCACTAGGTTCACTCGAACTTAATCAAACCTCAAAAAAACTAATTGAGCGTGATCAACTTAAAGACTTTTACTGACAAAAAACCACGCGCCCTACATAAGTGTCTTCGTTCACTGTCACTTAAGTGTCTTCGTTCACTGCATTATCTAGCGGAGTAAATTCATTTCTCACCGACGAACATCTATTTATCTCTTCAGCGATTCTAAAATTGGAAACAAAATATTAAAAGCTCTCTCTTCTCCTATAAAGTCGACCATATCATTGGTCAACTGCAAAACGTTTTCTCGCGAGGCAGATTCGGCTCTTGAACAACAATTACATGAGTCATTTCTATTTTTGTTAATTCCGAGTTCTTTCCGAGCTATTTTAGGGTAAGGTGTTTGTTTCGGATTTTTCGTATGCCGAGGACTTGCTTCTTTGAAATTTGGCCCCTCGTTGAAAAATCGCTTAGTAGGTGTGTGCTTTGAATTTTTGAGTAGAGGACTGTTTTGTTCAAAACGAGGACTAGCGTTAAAACTCAAATCTTGATCAAAATCTTGGAGCACTTTCTTGCTCTTTGAATTACACTTCTCTTGACTCGAATCAGAACCCAAGTCTAATGTGTCCCATTTCGAAGGCACAGATTTTGGTTTCCGTGCATCGTCTCGAAAGTAGAAACTGCTAAACAATAAAATTGAAATCAAATATTCATTGCAGCAACTCCATGATTAAATGTTGAACAAAAAATTATTCGGAGAAATCATTGACAGATTTTTTGTTGAAAAAGAAAACAAAATATCCTGAAAATAAGAACGAAGTCTCGTAATTGCCTTTCATGCTATATAATGTTCTATTCGCCAAGCTAAACATTCAATTCATGCTAAAATTCCCAAAACCTATTCGTCATTATAGCAGCAATTTCTCAAGCAATCATTATTAGCACAAAACGAAGTTAAACTCACGATGAGTCAGCGATATTTCTACTTGTCTGATCGAAAATAGAATCAGCGTCAAGATCTATATTGCGCAAACCGACTGTCTCATTTAGCCGATTTTGCAGATTTTCTCGGTTCCTCTGGGAGTAGCTTTCGAAATCACTTTCACTACCTACAAACATGAATTGATTATTGCAATGACTTTCAGTCGCTGAAAGACCCGTTTCAAGGACCTTAGGGGAGCTGTGGTGAAGTGGCCAAAGTCACCGCAAGAACATTAGAATAAGCCCCCCCCCCCCCGCTATATTGTATATCTTAGACTTGTACTGCAATCACTAGGTAAAGGTACTTCAAAACTAGCAGCCATTCTGCTCTGAAGAAGTATAAAATGTTGTTTAAAATCGTTTGGAACACATTTCAATTTTGAATTGAAATCAGCTATTTGTTTAGTGGAATGAAGAAAACGGGCAATTTTTTCGATCTTCTCAGCGCCAATTGAGCTTTTGAATAATCCGTATCGCCCCAGAACTGAAAAAAAAATTCCTGACCAGCGCTTGTGTTTTTGAAGCATTAAGATGTTATTTTTTTAAGAAAAAAAAATAGCTGGAAACAGGTTATTTTGACCCCCGACCAGAAAACTGGTGTCGTCAAAAGGTTTTTTAAATGTTACATATTCGTTGAAAATGTTATATACGTTTATATATATTATGTTATATATTATTTATCATGCTATATATTCGCATTATATATGTTATATGCATGTTATATAAAGGCATTATTTTATTTAATCGCTGAAAAAATGAAAAAAAATAGAATAAATATTACGTCTGCTGTTATTGGACTGGTTATTTATCTTCGGACAATGGGTCTGCTGCGCTTTAATTAGTCTGCCTGATGACTCACTCTTTCCGCGACTCCCAGTTCTGTTCCCACCTGGACTACCGTCATCTGAACTAAACGATTGATCGGAAACTGGGTCTAAAATCATCAAAAAAAAAACATCAAAGTTAAGCTTCAAAACGATTTCAGTTTCAACCAAAGATAAAATTTTATGATTCCTTACTGATTTTGAAATAAAATCCACTGATGCAGAGAAAAATTTCAACGTTGCATGCTATCAAAAAAAGAAACAAATCACTGAGCCGATAATAAGATTTTTTTTCGGCAATTGAAAACTTCAATTCTGGAAAAACAGTCGAGAAACACAACCACCAGCAGTACACAATCGTTTAGTTACAATTACCGAGCAACCGCTAAGCAGGCAATATTTGAAGCCAGAAACGAAAAAATGCCATAAGAACTTATTGTCACGAACAAAATAACCGCCCTGATTTTTTTTAAAAATCATAAATAATTTTTGCCATTCAAAGACACCGATGATGTATAACGCGAAACCTTTAAAATAGAACATATTCAAAACTTATACAGGAAAACTCTAGTTCCCGACTGCAAGACACTGGCTCTCGCAAGCGTAAAACGGATGCGGAGCGGAGCTTCGCAACACTTGCGATACAATTAAATTATTGCATTACAAAATATTGAAAAGAATAAAAGAAGGAAATCTTTCTCCAAAAAATTAAGCTGCAAAAAATATTTTAAAAAGTCTGAAAATTCTATCTACAAAAATTTCATACCTTTATCTAAGACGACGATGTTCATAAAGAGCCTAAGCAAGCATCGAGAATCAATGACCTAGCGACAACCAAAAAAACTTGGGTCACCGCGCGTTAAACAGAAAACGAAACTATAGACAAAACATATTCAAGCTAAAAAAATATTAGAAGTAAAATTTTTTGATCCATCTCTCCTGAAACAGACAAAAGCATTGAAAAAAAATCAACGTTGAAACTGCGCAACATGAATTTCTAAGCCGATATAACATACGCCCAACCCGTTCAACCGAAAACAAATTCAAAAATCAGAGTCGATAAGTTTACAAACTAGAGTGCAATTTTGACTCAAAACAGTTTGATTGTACTAAAAACAGTCTAAATCAAAAATGCAAGAAAAACCTCAGCTTTGAAAAAGAACCACTTGAAAAACTTACCAGATTTTATAAATTGCATTTAAAAAAAATCGACCAACAGAAATAAGGACAAAAACCACAAACCCAAAAGAAATCAACAACACTTTTCAATGTTAATATTTGAAAAACTTAATTACTACCACGCATGAATTAAAAATTAGTTTTATTTGAACTTTCAAGAAATTGAGCAATTCAGCCTTTGAGTATGTCGCCAGAAAGTGTAAGCAAAATTGTTTACGGGGGAAAAAAGTCTAGTTCCCGATTGCAAGTCACTTGCTCTCGCAATTGAAAGGAATGAATGAAACCCGAAAAAGAATTTCACACGGACGTGCAGAAAATTGCACTAATTAACCAAAGACTGAATGGAATTGAGAAACAAACGCTTGCAAGATTCTGTGCTCATTTCGCAGAACACCGATTTCAATTGAACGCTCATTGTATTCCTGATGTACGCCGACTTACATGATCTCAAGCGAGCAATCGGACCACTTGCTTCTATTGGAGTCTTCAGCTGAAACGCAATGTCATCTTCAGCGTCTCTCTAAAATAACCAAAACAATATGAATTCAACAAGACTGCGCATATTAGTGCGAAGCACTGAATGCTACGACTGGCTTCCAGCGTGTTCAAAATAGTGTTTGGTTTTGAAAATGTTTAAATTGTTGAAATTCGCCTCACACTTAATGTCAAGAAAAGTAATTTTGTGTCAAACAACGAAAAACTTATATCAATTAGCTTTGGCTCATTTGATCTTGGAATGATTTCTGATCCCGCGAAAACTTAGAATTTCGCATACATCAATTATCTCAAAATTGCAATTCTGACTCAGAGGGGAAGCTGAGCTTCGCACCACTGGTGAAACAAAACTGAAAAAAAACCTTTCGAAAAAACAGTTTTTTTTTGTCAAAAAAGTATTAAAATAAAATTGCCAAGCTGAAAATCTTGGCACGAAATTAATTGCACCATTAGAAATTATACCAGGAGCATTCGGAAGGCTACAAAAAGCCGAACCTTTTAAAATTCCTTTGTATGGAAACTAAGCAGACAGACGGTAGTCTAAAATAACAAAAATGTTCAGTTTGGAAAAATAAAACAGATCCCGGCTGGAATCGACTCCCAGCCTTTCGCTTCTTGAATTTGAATTAATAAAAAAGCAAGAAAACACGAGCAACATTTTCACGAGCTAATTCTGTGAACAAAGTTAGTTACGGGAAAAACAGTCTGGGACGCTGTTGCAACACCCTTGCTTATCGAAAGGGTACTAACCCATATTTCGAGAAAACGGAGAACAAATATTCAGTTTTTCTTAAAAAACTGGGATGTAGAAATAATTATTCGGATTTTTCTACAATTTTAAAGAGCTCACTGCTTTAGGAATTGGTGTTCTGAATTGATCACCTCTTCCCATTCGCCCATCGCAGTCCCAGTCAGATTTAGCAGATTGCGACTTCCTTTTCCGATTGACTGCAACTTCTCGTCTTTCTTCTGGACTCCGCGTAACCTTAAGGCTCACAATTTTCAACTCTGCTCTTTACATGGAAGTAAAAAAAAACACGCGGGTAATATTTGCATTTCATTTGATCAATTAAAACTCATCACAACTAAAACATCGCATCAAAAACATGAAAAGTTTACTTTGGTTGTTTAATTCAAAAATTTGTATTTTCGGGGCTTTAAAATAAACTTTGAGGGGTCAGTCAACAAAAAATGGCAGTCATACATCAATGCCAAAAGACGCAGGAAATGAACTCCAGAAGCAGCGATCGAAGAAGGATTCCTCTGAAATTCAATTACTTCGCTACTCAGAAGCTCCTTCTTTTAGAACTGTTGTATGACTGCCATTTCATTTAAATTACCCCCATCAACCTAATCTACGAAACATGTGTCTATAGGTAACATTACCAGGAATTTGAAGAAAAAAATTAAATAAGCTTTTGAATACGCACTTTTTTAATTGTGAGCGCAATTTGCAGTTCGTTAAAAAATAAGTTAAATTAATGAAGACCTAAATCAGCAAAAACTCACTTTTACCGCTCAATAACACTTATTAGCACAGAGGCGAAGCTTTCTTTCGCAGACACTACCGTGAACACGACAAAAAGCAGCTCTATAAAGTGCAATAACAAAAAGTAGAAATAAACCTCGAATGGGTTAAAATTCGGCCAGGTCTCGTTTCTATCTGCGACTTAGAGACAAAGAGTCTAATACATCACAAGCACCAGCCACAAATAAAGCAGAGAACAGATGCTATGAAATTTCCAATGCTAGATCGTGATTATAGCATAAGTGTAACCAAATAAGTCAAAACGGATCGTGTTAACTATTTTCCCCCTATGCATGTATTATTTTTTTACAACCATTTCTGTAAAAAATATGCTTTTCAAAAATGTCAACAATCAAGTGGGTTTTCATTTTCGCGCGTTCGTATTTGTATTACTTACTATTTGTATAATACCCACGAACATATATTTTCTGAAAATTGTTTCAAACTATTGAAAATGTGGCCGCCAAAGTTGAATTTCTGAAAATCGAAATAGGGGGAAATAGTTAACAAGATCCGTCAAAACTTTCCACTTTCAATGAACATTTTTAATTGCGAGTTAAATTAGAAAAAAAGAACGTTCGCACTAAACACTACGCTGATCGCAAGTGTAATAAGCGCTGCATTCAAATTGATTGAACTTCATTCAGTTTTGACCAAAAAGCTCAACTTTTTATACGACTAAAAACCAATGATTGTTAAAAGAACAAAGAGATGACCTTTGACCCCGATAGGAACGGCTTTGAGGTCTTCTGTTTTTCAATCGATATATCCGCCAGTAGCATGCTAAAAATATCGCCTCCCGTTTTGGGCTGTTTTCCTCTGGGAGATTTCGGTCTGATGAAACTTCGTGAATAGGGATTTTCTCTGTTTGAAATAGACTGTGGGTCAGCAATACTGTGGCGGCTTAATTGATAGGATTTTTTGTATACTTGATTGCGGGCTCTTGAGCCGCCGACCCAGTTCATGGTAATTGAGTTAATTATTGATTAATAACCTTCAGTTTAATGTCGAATTAAGCTGAAAATTTTGACAACTTTGATATGACTTAATTTACCCGTTTTTTAGTTCACACAGAATACCCAAAGATTATCGCTTTCTAATTGACAAAAATAATACACTTTGTTGCAAAATAATTACAAATTGACAAATTATAACAAAAATCACATAAGCGAAGTACATCAGAAACAGATTGAGCTAAATCAAGCTGATTTGGCTGAGAAGAATGCGTTGAAATTGAGTTTTAGCAGGAAATGGTCCAAATGAGGCTGATATCCATTTTGGGCCAATGCAGTCACAACTGGAACAACAAAAACAGACAGTCTTTAGAAGTCTAGAATAAATCTAGGATTTGTCACCAAGAGACACTTGGAAACACGTTTTGGAACAAAGAAGCCAAATAGAATTGCAATTTTTTAAAATTATTTGAGTTTCATGGAGGAAATTACATCATCGTAAAGCTCTATACACCCAATAGATATATTTCTATTGCGCTGAGAACTCTAAAACTCAAAATTGACTTTTGAAACTAAAACTCGTATCGAACTATTCAGACTCTTATTATTATAGAGCGTAATTTGCTTTACATTTAGTAAATTTCACTGTTATGGAAAAAATGAGCGAGATCAAATTTTTAGACTTTTTCCTGACAAGTGGTCTATTTTTCACTGAATTAATCTTCGGCTTCTGTTTTCAAAAAGCATGTGTCAACTTTAAATGAGAGCATATTTGATTAAGTTCGACCTTCAATACAAGGTTGAGCAACCTTTTATTGTAAAACTGAGATGTGAATGGAACTTGTGGTAGGTGGCCATCAATTGGGTGAAGTTTGAGTGCTCCACTAGTCCAGTGAGTCCCGAGACAGACCAGGCTCCGTTGGTGAGTTGTCTCTGGAACTGGATCACTTGGGCCAGCATCGACATCAGCATCTTCATCACTTTTGCACTCTTGCCAGTCAGAAGAGCCCTGAAGGTAGAATTCAGCTGTCATTTAAACCAATTAATCTTAACAAACATCGACTTAATAACTGATTGAATAAAATACATTAATTTGAGAAGTTCAGAAGATAAGTCCTGAATTTTAATACAATCAAAACGAGCTGCGAAAAAATTGATTAAAATCAAATCATCACGTCTATTTGAATTGATGGCATTTAAAATGTTTATTATTCACATTAATTTTGTTGATTAAATTCATTTTATGATCAAATAAAAGTTAAGGGCAAGCGTTTCGAGGTTCTGAGGATCCCGTTGCCTTTTCTTTCCGAATTTCTTTCCGATAAATTTTGATTTATAATTCTTAAAATGTGATTAAATATTTTCCTTGGATTAATTTATTCTTTCTTTCTTTCTTTCTTTCTGTATTTTTAGAATACTTCCCTCAAAGGTAATCCCAATTCAACTTTTTCCACATCTTAAGGGAGCAAACAGCAGCTTATGACGATAAAACCACAAAGCACCAAAATGTTATTTCGAGAGTATCGACTTGCCTTGATAGCATATTATTCAAATACTCCGCGTGTGCATTGCTCATGTCATCTACACTATTCGCTTTCTCGAAACTCTTTTCGAACTCCAAGTGGGACACATTCAACAGCTGGTCCTGCACGTAATCTGACATGACATTCACCAGGTGCTGCATTAGGTGTCTCGAGTACTGCAGCTTCGAGAACTGTTTGGATCCCGTGATGTCGAAGAGCTGCTGTGTGTGTTTGAGTTGAAAATAGAGCGAAGTGAGCACGTGACTTAGTCTTCGGAGAGTAAGGAGGAAGTGGAATAACTTGAGGTATTTGTGGAGACACGAGTCTGATATGATGACGTTCACAGGCCAATCCACGCAATAAGAGAGTGTCAAAATCGAGAAACAGTCGGCCTCTAAAAAAATTCACACAGCATATCACGTAAATAATGTTTTTGTTCCGACCGTTGACAAGGGGGAGGAACTTTGTCTTCGGGTGTTTTAAATTTTTTTATTTTTTTTTGTTTTCCACGCAAAATCACCTACCACATATAACCATTGGAATGAGTCGAGTGATATATCATTTAAAGACATTTCAGTCCTGGTACGAATAAATTGATAATTTTGATTTGTTGTCAAATGTACCAAATTTACTATACCCATCTAAATTCTAGACTTTCATTCAGATTCGTTTTCACACCATGAAAAGAAAACGACGCAAATTCAAAAAAATATATATTTTTTAATACGATCGGAAATTTCTGCGCTACTGGCACAGAAACCAGCAATCCTTGATCATTTGTCTATTTTATGAAAAAATTGTGCATAAAAGCATCAGAAAAACAAGGAGGAGCACATTTGTTCACAATGCTTAAATTGCTCATACTGACAAATCTGGCAACAAACAAAAAATTAACAGCAATACTGAAAATTGAAAATATGATTAATTTATATGTGCGGGGGAGGGGGAGAGAATTGAAAAGAAGTCAGAGACAGAGGGGTTGATTTTTTTCGGAACATTAATAGGCGAATCGATCAATTAACTCACGATATGGATCTAAAAACTCAGTGGATGGCCTCAGACGAACCCCCAAACGCTCAAACAGCAAATCCTTCTTGTCCCACAGGCATCTCTCCACTGCGAAGTTAACAGAGCGCAGGAAGGGAGTCAAACTGATAGCTACATCCTCCCCCACTGGTTTGTGAAACCAATTATCGGATGAAGAATCGACAAGTGGGAACAACTTTGAACACAGGGCGTGAGCGAACTCCGGGTCAGCCAGAAGCAGAGACCTCCTCAGTGCCTCGAAGTGTAGCTTCAATTTGTAGTCCTCGAGAAACAAACGTCGAGCACACTTATTTGCGAGGGATAACCTAATTAACAAAAATATACCAATGCTCGATGAAATAATCTATCGAAGTTAAATCAGTTGCTCATCAAATGAAATCTCTGGCGGACCAAGAAATTGTGTTCTCAGATTTTAGAGTTCATATTTATTGAATTTAACAGATCAAAATAGGCCAAAATTGCGGTTAGACAGTTCATCCGCAAAACACTTGAGATATTTTTAATCACGGAGAAGTTTTTAATCTTACTGTCGGCGAAGGGGCTGCACTAAGAGTCTCTGCATCAGAACTGGAAGCGGAATCAACATTTGTTCACTACTCTTCCCATGGTCAATATGAGAATTCACGTTTAGACCCACAATCATTTTCAGATGGTCTATTTCTTTCTCTTCTGAAGTCAGTTCAGAATGCATGTGTGCGGTGACCACCCGATGAGCGATGTCCGAGAGGGGTTCATCAGATAACTCCGGGTACTCCTTGATGTATGACTGAGAAGGTTCCCATTCTAGCGTCGGCAGCAGAGAGAGCTCAAATACTTTTTCAGGAATTGCATTTTCATCTGCTGAAATGCAAATCAACATGTCAAACTTAACAAAATTTTTGGCAAAACTTAATATTCTTGGCAACTTTAAAGTTCAAACATACAAGAAATTTAGATAAAATATAGCAGCTCGCAACATTCTTTAACTTGCAAATTGTAACAAAAAATTAACGGTAATAAAGGTTCCTTACCTTTCATTTGATTTTTAATCGATTTCGTCAATGCACTTCGTTCATCTTCAGGCCACGACAACATATCTTTCGAATCCGCATTTTGTGCAATGCCCACACGTATTAAAGGCTTATACGTTCCTTCATCACTTGTCACGCCAATAACTTTTTTTCTATTTTCCTCAGCGTCGTGTACATTTGACTGTTTTTGAGTCCAAAGAGACGGTGAAGTGACTTCAGAAAGTGTCTTTGGGTCCAGTACGGATTCATTTAATTCTTGATCACTGTCTGATTTCATTTCGCTTTCATTGTCTTGAGTCAATTGAGCCCCATTTTTGGATGACAATATGTCTAATGCTTGGCTTTCTTGATTTTGTGGGCTATTTTGTTCTTCAGTTCTCTCCCCTGTCATTTGCTTCCGCGATGAAATTTCCGTAGATATTTGTGAATCCTCACTTGTATGTCTTCCAGAAAAGGATGAGCTCTGGACACCGTTATCACTTAATTGTTCAATCTCTTTTTCGATCGCTTCTCTCATTGCTGGTTTAATTTCATCATTTTTTCCTTGATTCTTGTCTTCATTTTGAAGAGTGACTAACTTGTCTTCAGTCTTGTTTCCAATCGAGCTCACGTCTTGCAGGTCATTGGTCGAAACTTTTTCCGTCTTTGACGTATTTGCCCAATCGTCCTTCGAAAATGGAAGAAATTCGTTTGAAATATAATATATACGAAGGACGGATAACATGTACGAAAAAATGCTTGCGACAAAACAACTTTTGCATGAAACGTAACGGCAACAAGAAATATGCATGAGACGTATTTAGTTTAACAAGTCGGTTTTGTTTTCAAAAACTAAAAAGACGAACAACCCTTATTCTTCTTCTTCCTATATCACAGCTATTAGTTTATTTGCTAAATGCGGATCTGGAGTTTTGGTAAGAGAATGCAGTAAAATCAACCTAATTTAAAAGGACGACGAAATTGATTTCAATGGGCTCCTGGGAAACAAAAATTTTCAGTTGCGCTTTCTCCACTGCGCAGAAGTTTATATCCTATAAATTCCTATATATAGCTTGAGCAATCTAGGCAATAAAGGTTCGCGCGGCAACACCTTCGTACTGAACAGACATAAAAATAAAATCTTCGCGGCTATTTAGAAATTCGAACTATGTCCATTTAAAACGGTTTGTCTATATATCAACCATACATATCAACAAGTGTAAATACAAGTTTTAACACCTGTACTTGAAAAGTTGAGTGTAGATCGGTAACTCCTTCCAGAGGATCGTGCTTCATCAATTCCCATGATTCTCGTCGTTTTTCATCCAGTTGGTGTCTTTTTATTCTCCAGAGGGCCCTCTGTTCTCGCTTGGTAGCTTCCGCCGACAACTCTTCGTAGTATGCTATCAGTTCTGCTCTAAAACAAGAAACAACGCCAACATACAGTTGAAAAAGATTCAATGAACGCAAGCAAACAGAAAATAAATACCGAATTGTTTTAGCATCATTATATGTTTTCTTTTTGGCAACCAAAAAAACTTCAACATGTTTAGTTGTAGGAAAAGCTCGCACACTCGCTCATACAATCAACACAGCAGCAAATTTTACTTAAATAATCAATCATAATAAACTTAATTTCGAAATAACTATTGATGTTAATATCAATAATTCATTCGGTCATCCAGCAGCCGCTTGAGAGACGTCATAGATCGCTAGACTTGTCTCGTGACAACTTCGGGCAATTGATTTCGAATTTAAGTGTTAGTTTATTAGAGAAGTGCATACAACACAGAACAAACAATAACAAGCGAAAAAAACTAACCTAGCCTGCTGTTCAATCTGCTGCATGCGTTGCAACTCCTCCTCGTCCCTCGCGACTCCCAGTCGCATCCTCTCTCTGTCTCTCTCCCTCTCCTCTCGCTCCAGTTCTGTCTTCCGAGCCAGACTAGCCTCCATCTCATCCCGTAGTTGCAACAACTCAGTCGCTCTTCTAATCCGAGTAGATTCAGACTGCTCTAATAGACGTTCTAAAGACAATAAGACAGGTTTTTCTTTTTAAAATTTTCTTTTCAAAAACATCTTTTCAAAACTTATTTAAAAAATCTTTTAAAATTTTCTTTTCAGGAAATAGAACTACCAAATGAATCAAATCTTTTATAGTTTTGAATATGTTATGATCCCATTATTTTCAAAGATGTTTTCCAATACTGAAGCAGTCAGATATAGATGCCCACTGTTTGCTTCAACTTATTCATTGAACACATATTACAGTAACTAATTACAGAATGATATCAAAGTACTTTGATAAAAAAAACCAATCTAAATAGAAATAACAAGCTGATTTTCAAAATTCTCTTCCAATGTCCTTTGGGTTTTCTATTCAAGAGACGAGGTGAGGAATGCTTACTGGCGAGGTCCTCGAACTCTTTAGTAGCTGCTCTTCTCAATTCAGCTTGGATCCTCTGTTTGGCTTCCGTTTCTTCTGCCTCCTGAAACGCGAAACATCTTTATGAAAGATACTTCCTGTCGCAAGTGTAACACAAAGGCGAAGCTGCGCTTCGCAGACACTTGCAAGAACACGATCAAAAATCAGCTCTATTAAGTGACATAAGAAAAAAGAGAAATAATCCTCGAAATCTTAAAATCCCCAAAAACTAGCCACCAATAACGCAGCTACAAATGCTAATAAATTGCCAATTCGATGCAGCAAAAGTAGCACCAAATACAAAAAGATACAATTTTGCATGTAATAAATCTCAAATCATAAAGCCACATAATGTATAAAATATGCATTTCAAAAAATTGCGAGATTTATTGAGTTAGAAAATTTCCGAAATCGAGATTTTATTATTGTGATGTTGTTTGAAACAAATAGCTTTCTTCGGTTCACTTGATGATTTTAAAAAGCACCAAATGTGTGAACTTTAACTATTCGAATGTCAAATCACATTATATTGCCAAAACGAAGCAAAACATAATGTTACTTTAAGTCACAACAAAAACATTCTGCCGCCAGCACTGCTAGGGCCCTTTACCGAACTACACACACCAGTAAATAACTTTTGGTTTTTGTAAATGTGTGTCAACCTCAAGTTAAATGCAAAAAGGGAAAATACAGAACAAAATTATCATTATTAATTGTAATAGCCCTTAGACTTGTTAAAGTCGTAAGTTTGGAAATTCAAAAGGTTGTTAATAAGTTTTATTATAGGCAAACTGTTAGGCATCAAATCGAAATCTTACAGCACTCTTTTATTTCAGATCCCATCGGACATAAGAGATCGCAAGGTCAAGACAGCAGGTCCCCAAACAGAAAGAAGAATTGATAGCACTTACATAAACTCAAACTGGTGTCTATCTAGAAGAATTGATAGCACTTACATAAACTCAAAACTGGTCCCTATATCATTCGGGCAACCACAAATAAATTTTAGCGTAGATAAAATTTATCAACTTTATGTTACTGTATTGTATTGTATAAATGTACTAGTTAAGTTTTTAGTTTTTGTTGAGTTTTCTCACCCGCCAAACCTCTCTTAAGGTTACCTTTCTCCTTTTCTCGTCTTGTCGATTCCATCATTTATGTTCTACCTTTCTCCTTTTCTCGTCTTGTCGATTCCATCATTTATGTTCATAACCCCCCCCCCCCCCCCCCCATTTTGTCAACTCCGCGTCTCTGCCGTGTTGATTTTCGCGTCGCCGTTTCGTGCTGATTTTTATTGCGTTTTCCACCGACGGGTCGTGGTGAGTTCACACTAACCGACGGTACATCCTGTCCTTCGTTCGCCGCACCTAGGGTTGGTTCCCTTCGTCCGATTTCCCACTCACTATCGTATTCGTCGTCTTCGCTCTCGTCCGCCGAGTATTCCACTATACGCTGTTTTGTTGCTCGGTCCTTCTCCGCTTTTCGTTTATATTTATTCGAATCGCTTGGGGCCGGTGTACTGGTCACGTTTCTACTCGGTCCAGGGGTGCACTCCTCGCTTTTATTCCCAATTAGGCTTTCTTCAGCCGCCGATCTAAAAGACACACCACTCCGCCTTAGTAACGACCCTTTTTTCATTTGCACCGTATGTTTAGTCATTTTGTCAATTTTTAATGGCAAACGTTTATACCTCCTTGGGTCCTTTGGATCCGTCTTCCCGGTCCTCTGATACACCGTCGTTGAACTTGCTTTATGCCTTTTCAGCCATGTTGCGGTCTTGGGTGGGCCTAGTTCCTTGGGGTCCACAACTTCCGGAGCCTTAGGATCCGCTACCTCGTCATCGTCCAAAATGATTGGAGCTTTCCTATTTTGAGGGGCGAACACTAAGTCACTTCTCTTCTCCCAATCTAGGGTAAGTTCAACTTCTGGGAGGTTTCCCGCCTTGTCTAAACAAGATAACTTTTGATTAACGACAATGTTCCAATTTAGGTTTTTTAATGACGGCTTTTTCGTTAAGTTTCGCAGTGCCGTATTAGCTTCTCGACCATGGTATGCTTCGAACGGCGTTAGTTTAGTTTTAGAATGTGGCACGAAACGTAATGCACTAAGCGCACGGGAGATCATCTCCCCAAACTTGTAGTTTTTATTTTCCTGGAGATAAGTCAACACGTAATTTTTTATCGACCCAATAGTCCGTTCAACCATTCCTGTTGCGCGATGGTCCCTAACCGGAGATTTAATAAGTTCAATACCTTCGTAGTTACAGAAGTTTTGAATTTCGTTAGAGAAAAACCCCGTGGCTTGATCCATGTGCAATTTCCTTGGGTGTCCATGAGTATTTATGTACTTCCTTAGGAATTTCAATACACTTTTTGATTTGTTGCTTGAACAAACATACGCCGACGGCCAATGCGAGAAAGTATCTACTGCTACAAGTACATATTTTTTTCGACCCCTAACATAGTTTACTGGACCCCAGAAGTCTAATTGGACCAAATCATTTGGTTCCTTAGGATTATACGTTTCCCCCATGTCATTTTTGGGAATGTCTGGTTTAAGGTTTTTACCTGCTTCTAAACAACTTTAGCAGTATTTGGCTGTGGCCGCGATATTTCGGTGCATAAGGGGAATCCACACGTCCTTTGCCGCCGCGAACATCTTATCCCTCCCATGATGGTTATAATGGAGACGATTTAGAATTGCCGATGATAGGTCCTTCGGTATTGCTAACCGGCCGTCCATCCACAGGCAATTCTCCCTTCCTGCGAAATCGTTGTAATGCTGGGCGTAGTATTGTCCTAATCTTGTAAAATTCTCCTTTGCTCGTGGGTTCCTGTCTCTGATGTTGTCTCGGATGGTCTTCATAATTGGGTCTTTTTCAATGTTTGCTTCGATTAATTTTAAATTCATAACTTCCGGGTGTTCAATTTTCTTCACGATTTTACTATCCGACGGCACTATGGAATAGATCCATTTTTCATTTTGTACAAGTGGGTACGATAAACCGGGGAATTGATGTGGAAAAGATATAATTGTATTCAGTTTTTAGAATTAGTTTGTTTGGTATCAAGTTTTTCAGGTGGTATCATTTCAATATCGGAAACCGAGCTAACGCTGGGAGGTTGACTTAGGCGGTTTAACACAACATTTAGATTAACATTTCCCGAATTAGTTGATGTGTTGACTATTGCCGAAGTTGGAGGATCATTCTTTTCTGGCGAATTACTCATGTTATTTCTCTCGGATTTGCTACTGTATTTTTTCAAAGTAACTGGCTTTTCACTATAATCTTTACTACTGTAAATTTTCAAAGTAGGTGTCTTTTCACTGTAATCTTGTAAGATGGATGGTTCGCACTTATAATTTTCCGACACCGAAGGTTTGTACGTGTAATTTGTTGAAATGGAAGGGTTTCGAGGGTATTGAATCGGGGGTGTTTGCAAGGGTTTCGAGGGTGTTTGCAACTGTAATTTAAGCAATGAGAACAAAGTCTGAATCTCGTTCTTCGGTATTTGCATATTTCCTCCGGTATGCAAATATCTCGACGCTGATTGGTTAACCGTCGGTTGCATGTAAACACGCCCTCTATTGAGCGTTTGTGCTCACGGTGAATATTTGCATAATCGTCTTTTCTTACATTCTCATTGGATGAAACTGCTTTCGTTGTGTCGAAAAATGACTTTACGCCCCCTACCGTCGGTTTTCGCTGAATGTTGTTCACTTCTTGACCCCTAGGCTTCATTTTATCCTTGGGCTTCAACGCCGCGTTTATCATTCTTATCTTTGCTACTGTAAAATTTTCATCGTAATGGCTTGTCTCGGGTGCCTCTGCGGACGGAAACCGAGACAGATAGTCAGCCATCCCCATTTTTGACCCTTGTCGATGTTCAACCTTAAAGTCGTATGGCACCAGGCGATCATACCAACGAGTTAACCGACTGAAAAATGTTTTATTTCCTTTTGGTGACGAATTCAACAATGTAAGTAGCGCTTTATGATCAGATATCACTGTGAAATACCGACCGTATATATAATTCCGAAAATGTTCCGTGGCCCACACTACCGCGAGTAATTCCAATTCGTTTGTGGAGTATTTTTTCTCAGCCGGATTAAGGTAACGAGATGCAAACGAAATCGGATGCCATCCGGATGCGCCATACTGTTCTAAAACGGCCCCTAGGCCATCGTGGCTAGCGTCACAAATGATTCTAGTTTCACGGTGAATGTCGAAATGTCGTAATTCGACGATATTTTTCACAAGCGATTTTAATTGTTGGAACGCATTTTCGCACACGGGTGTCCAGACAAAATCATTATTTTGGCTCAGTAGTGGCCTTAACGGTGCGCTTAACTCGGCAAGTTTGGGTAAAAATTTGTGTAAGCTATGTAACGAACCCATCAAGGATTTCAACTGCTTTCGAGATTTTGGGGTTTTCAAGTCTTCTATAGCTTGTGTTTTTCTTACTAAGGGCGTTATACCACTTTCCCCAATTCGAAATCCAATCCATTCGCACTCAGTTTTCGCAAATTCGCAATTTTAACGCGACATTGGAGACGTCCAGCTTTTTCAATATCTTTTCCACTAACGCAATGTGTTCGATTTTAGTTCCTTTTGAAGCAATTAAGATATCATCAATAAACGCGTTAGCCTGGGGGAACTCCTTAAGTAAATTATCTATTACCTTCTGGAATTCCGCCGGCATTGACGTAAGTCCGTTTTTAAAACGATAACTCCCCGTGGATTTTCCGCCGACTAGTGAGAAATTGCATTGCTCGCTTGTTTTTTGTTCTAATGCGACTTGTCCGTACGCATATGTGAAATCCAATGTTGTAAAGTATACATTCCCCGATTTTTTCTCCGCAATAATCTGACTTACTCCGTCAATTAATTCGTCAATATTCGACATTTGGTACTTATTTTTGTGTACCTGTTTATTCAATTCTCTTGATTCTAGTGCTAATTTTATGCTTCCGTCCTTTTTTACTGTAATGACGATAAGAGAGACGAAATACTTATCTGAGCACTCTTGTAATTTTATGATATGTCCTTCATTTATCAGCCGA